TGCTTCCTTCCAGCTGAAATACAAATTCTTGCTCAGGCACCTTTCTGGGAATCTGTCAGCCTGTCTTTAAACCTGCTCTGATATTAAACATTATTCTGATGCTGTCTGATCCCTAGCAAATATAGATGGTAAAAATAATCTTTGATTTTTTTGCCTTTAAAATTCTTTTTTGGCTTTGTGGAGCGCTAGGAGACCCTCACAGAAATACAGTATTATTGCCAGTGCTGACAACTGTCCAGTGTCCTTATGTCAGATTCCTAATGCCTCAAATATTTTTCCTGTCAGAGTAAGAGAACAGTAATTTTTCCCCCATGAGCAACCACAGACACAGTAGAGGTGGTCTTTCAGTAGCCACCTGCGTGTGAGATTTATCAGAGGAGTTATAAGGAAATAATGGGAAGTGATCTGCTTCATGGCTGCAGATGGCACGTCTGCATTTAGAGAATATAGGGCCAGAGATGGAGGCAGTGAGGTGGGAGTTAATATGCTGTGGGTGTTGGAAGGAGTTGCCTGTAAAATGGAGAGCAGTTCAATGTAGCAGGATGGGGGCTTTAGGAGAAAGGAGTAACAAAATCAAAGCTCGGGGTGATGCATAGGGGGCTTGACTGCAAAAAAAATTCAGAAGGACAAGAGAAAGTGAAAGGTTGAATCCCAACAGCTGAAAGATTCGCTTTAATATCTGCTTAGATCAAAAATAAAAGTGTATGGATTGAGAGATTATCCACTAGATAGATTTAATCTGCCACATGCATTACTTCCCCAAGGAGAAGCACTGGGAGGGGAAGGTTGGTTTGGCTCAGTGCCCTGGATTTGAAAGCAGGTGATTTATCTCCCTTTCTTCTGCAGGCTCCCTTTTCACTTGTCCCAAAGCATGTGTCCTGCCCAACAGGAGGGGTTCTCGCTGTATGCCTCCTGCTTATCTGCAACTCCAGAGTCACGCTGGATCTAACTATAAAGGGGTTTCTCAAGCAGAAAGGAGTACAGAGAGCAAAATAACACGGCACTGGCTAACAGGATAGGCATGTAGGTTCAGATGCTGGTGGTGGTTTTGGCTGTCTGAACGCAGGGTTCTGAGGGGCATTAATGGGCCACTTTATTAACAGTTACCTTTCCTGTCCTAGCTGCACTTGCCTCTCAAACAAACACCACTCAGTAACATGCTCCGTAAATGGAGGTTGAGGTCTGATTGCCACCTTGCTTCCAACACTTTGCTTCTGAAATCCTTGGCAACAGCCTTCTCCATCCATTCCTGTTTCCTTTCTTTGTGCTAACAGCAGTTGACTCCTTTGAGTAAGTTCAGTTTCCACAGCAGTAGAAATACTAAAGTTGCTGGAGGACACTTGAACATGAAGAGGTTTTTCCCCCATGTATTTTTCAGCACTAATATGGTATATTATCTCTTTAACTAACACATGCATCTGTATCTTGAACTGTACATGCATAAGTTATGTACTTTTAGGAGCCTGTACACGTGATGGAATTTGGATTGGTTGGATTGAGGGGGTTTAATAATTTTTTTCATAGTTATCTTGCTTAGCAACAAATAAATTAATTCTCTAGACTGATTTGTGTTACTTCTGTGTTGTGTACCACCTCAGGTGAAGGTTTTTGGCAGATTTCCTAAGGTCAGTGGGATTTGGCCTGTTAAATCCTAGACTAAATCACAGGAGAAAGTACAGGGTGCCTAAGAGAAGAGTTGTCATGGTTTGAAACACCTGAACTGGCACTGGACAACTTCCCCAGCTTGTGCTGGGAGCTTCTTCACAGCTTTTTCACAGCTAGTAAAAGAGTGAGTGTGGGAGAGAAGGTTGATACTTAGTAGTGAAGCACTGGGGGTAATGTCGGTCAGGAAAGGGAGCAAGGGAAGCATTTGACTGGCTCATTTCACGTGCATAGAGTGGGAGGAAGATAGAAGAACAGTTACTGGTTTCCAGGCCTGAGTTTGCATAACTATTTGCTTACCACTTCATTCTGGGAGAGAAACATGTGCTTGTCAGCCCTGAGAATTGTGTCTGGGAATCAGCAGGGTACTGGCTAAAAGGCAATTGATACCTCGCTTTTACCTGGAGCTTCAGGAAGGCTTTGCTGAGCTCTTCTAGCAGAGGGGTCTACTCATGGGTGAGAGGGAAAATTGCATCATTGATTTGAGAGAGAGCAGCAAAGCAGAAATAAATGACTGGGTTTTTTTCAGCTTTGAAGGAAGTAAAAATAGTCAGATGTCCCCAGGAGCAGGACTGGAAATAGTGTCAATCAATACAACTGTGAAACATCTAGAAAAGAGGTGAACTGTGAGGTGGGAAAACGTGCTGGGGGAAGGCAGTTAGGGAAGACGTAGGTCCTTCAGAGGCATCTCACAGCTTAACAAAACAAGGCAATAGGACAGCCCTATGACACATGAAATTTGCTGCACACAGGTGCTAGGAAGTGCATGCTGAAAGGAACAACAGAAACTACTCTGAGAACCTATCAAGTGTGTAAGTGATGTGGACTTACACCACTGAGACAGAGGGAGGGTGTGGGAAGGAAACCATGAACAGATTTGTACTTCATGTTGGTACAAAATACAAGCTGTTAGGCTGTGTTTAAAATAAAAGGATGGGGATATGGAGAATAATTCTGAGGGGAATCTCGGGAGGTTCAATTTAACTCATCTCCCACTCCAGAAAGAATAAAGTAGAAACAAGCTGTGTGCTTTCCTGCCGTATGCATAAGGAAGGATTTTCATGTCTCTGGGAAGAGGGAAACATGGCTATAAACAGACAGAAACACTTAAAAGTGTTTAGAGAAAGAAGTGGGGTTCTTTCAGAACAGTACAAGGTGAACAGGCTGCTTGTACTTGCGTTGTTTTTTCACTGCCTACAGTAGGGGAGCTTTAGTGGAGTCTATTTCTGTACTGTAATAGGGAATGTGCTGCACAGAGTGAAAATGCTTGAAAAGATGGGTTTGGTACAGTTTGAAAATGGGAATTGTGGATCATTGCTGATAGCAAATATGTTACTAAAAGGAATTATGCAGACAGTGGGGGGAAAAGCTTGGGAGCTCTCTACTCAAAAGCAAAGAGGAACCTCTGGTAAAATCTAAATACAGTAGTTTGAATTTTACAGGCATAAAATGATCCAGTGAAACCCATTGCTACAAAACATTGCTGAAATGGAGTTCTGTTTCTCCTAATGGGTTGTATAGCCATAAAAATGTTCTTTGTTGGTTTCATTAGAGGGGTGAAGATTCAGAACAACTTTCAGTTTTGAAACTTTTCAGGCTGGGTAGAATCTGCTGCGTATGCATGTGGAAGGGAAGTCTCTTCTGAGAAGGTGGCTCCATGGTTACCTGTAGCTGATGCCTCCTAGCCTCTTGTTGAACCTGTGTGACAGTTCCTACAGAGTGGTAGCGACTGTGCACAACATGCCAGCAGCTTCAGTCATGCCCCTGGCTGCAAAGCATGTGCTATAAGCTCAGTGGGAAAGCAACGTGTCCACATGCTGAACTCGGATGTACTTAACCAGTGACCGCTACACCCTGGTGCTACAGGGTGCTTTTCACCTCAGTCCCAAAACATTTTGATGCTGATCATGTCATGGCTTAACCCCAGCTGGCAATGATGCACCACACAGCTCCTTGCTCTCTCCTCCCCAGCAGGATGGGGGAAGAGAATTGGAAGAGTAAAAGTTAATATCCTGGTTTCAGCTGGGGTATAGTTAATTTTTTTCCTTGTAGCTGGTACAGTGCTGTGGTTTGCATTTAGGCTGAGAACCATGGTTCTCACCACCATGGTTACCATGGTGGTAACACACTGGTGGTTTAGTTGTTGCTACGTTGCTTACTCTAAGTTAAGAACTTCCCATATTCTGCCTGTGATGAGACGCACAAGAAGCTGGGAGGGAGCACAGCCAGGACAGCCCCCTTTGAGGGGGAAAGTGAGCGAGCAGACGTGGGGTGCTTAGTTGCTGGCTGGGATTAAACTACAGCAGTGGGAAAACTTGTGGGTTGAGATAAGAACAGTTTACTAATTGAAATAAAATATAATAATAGTAATAATAATTACTTGAAACGAACAGTGACATTTTAAAAAGATAAAATCCACAAAGACAACTGATGCAAGTGAAAAACAGTTGCTCACCGCTAACTGACCAGTGCCCAAGCAGCACCCCCTGGCCAACTTTCCCCCTAGTTTATATGCCAAGCATGATGTCCTTTGGTCTGGGATGTCCCTGGGGTCAGCTGTCCCAGCTGTGTCCCCTCCTCATTCCTTGTGCACCCCATTCTGCTCACAGGTGGTGTGAAGAGGCAGAAAAGGCCTTGACTCTGTGTAAGCGCTGCTCAGCAGTAACTAAAGCATCCCTGCGTTATCAACACTGTTTACAGCACAAATCCAGCATAGCCCCATAAGAGCTACTATGAAGAAAATTACCCGAGCTGAAACCAGCATATCTAGGTTTGCAGAAATTATGCAGGTTAGCATGTCTTACTACTCCAAATGAGGACCTGATGTTGTTTAACCAGTGTGGAAACCAGATCACAAAGCTGTGAAGCAACATGGAAGAAGTTGTTCAACAAACTGCTGGTATAGTAGAGGACCTGAAAAGCCTTGTGAGTCCTGAACTCCACTCATTAGCATGTGTTGCCTTTCATTTTATTAAAAGTCATTTTAATTAAAAATATGTTGGCAGTTGATAACTGGCCATGGCTTTCTTGTCATCAGTACCTGCAGAGGGCTTGTGGCACTCTGGCGTGGCAAAAAAGCTGCAGTTTTCCATCTTTCTGTGCTGTGCCTTAAGCAGCTGCAGGGGTGTTGTGCTGTGAGTCACGGACTAGACCTGCCTTGCTGTCGGAGTACATAAAGCTCTCAGTGGGACCAAGACAAGCATAGCTCAACCAGTGCTATTTTGCTCCATGAAACAACCCAGTCCACTGGGATTCACATCCTTTCCTGAGGGCCTGGCTGTTGCTAAAGAATCTCCAGCTCTGGCTTCTTCATGTTAAGAAAGGTGCTTTCCTCCTAGGATCTCCCAGCGAGTGGAGGCCAGCCGGGCACAGCTTCAGGCAATTGGGGAGAGGGTCACACTCGCCCAAGCGAAGATTGAGAAGATAAAGGGCAGCAAGAAGGCTATTAAGGTAGTGAGTTCAGTGGGGGCTGCATGGTCTCTCTTCTTCCTTCCACCTTTCCTCTTTACGCCTGATGTAAGCTCTGGAGAAGAACAGGCTCGGCTGCCGCAGCTGCTGCCCGCTCACCTCTCCATGCCTCGCTGCTGAGCAGGGTTGTGATGAGAATCCCTTTCCTGACCCGGCCGATTGATGATTTTTAGACCCATCAGCCTCAAAGCTCCAGGCCTTAGGAGGCCTATATAGGTTGCTGCCCCTGCTGCTTCCTGAGAGAAAGGCATGTGCTGAGCTAAGCCCAGCATCCTCACACTTCAGACTTATAGACACTTTGTCTGTTTGAATGAAAGCTGCTGTTGCAAAGCCTCCTCTTAGTTCATCTTAATCCTGTTGAGCCATGTAAAACTGGTGAAAATCCTTCTGTCCCTATTTTTCTTACATTTTATACGGTATTTCCAGCTCCCTTCCTGCTAGTGGAAGCCTTTTTGACTTCCTTGTACTCAGAGAAGCTCTGGCACTTCCAGTTTTGGAAGTGACAGCCCATGGGTGTTTGGGTCCAAGGCTGTCCATCCCCTCTGGCAGCAGATTCTGTGCCTACCTGACTCATAGAATCATAGAATAGTTTGGGTTGGAAGGGACCTTAAAGATCATCTAATTCCAACCCCCTGCCATGGGCAGGGACACCTTCCACTAGACCAGGTTGCTCCAAGCCCCGTCCAACCTGGCCTTGAACACTGCCAGGGATGGGGCAGCCACAGCTTCTCTGGGCAACCTGTGCCAGTGTCTCACCACCCTCATAGTGAAGACTGCTTTCTTAATGTTTAATCTAAATCTCTCTTCTGTCATTTTAAAGCCATTCCCCCTTCTCCTGTCACTACATGGCCTTGTTAAAAGCCCCTCTCTGCATTTCTTGTAGGTCCCCTTTAGGCACTAGAAGCTGCTCTAAGGTCTCCCCAGACCTTCTCTTCTCCAGGCTGAACAAGCCCAACTCTCTCAGCCAGTCTTCATAGGAGAGGTGCTCCAACCTTCTGATTATGTGTTGCTATTATTATAGGACTGTCTAGTTGAGGTTTTTCAGTCCCTTCTTGTTTCTCCACAGGTGTTTTCCAGTGCCAAGTATCCAGCTCCTGAACGGCTGCAGGAATACAGTTCAATTTTTGCTGGTGCAGAAGACCCAGCTAAACAGAAATGGCCAAGACACAAGATTCAGAGCAAACACCGAATGCTGGATGAGAAAGCTCTGCAGGTAAGGAGGGGGAGAATAGATCTCGAGATGAACAAGCAAAGAGAAGCTGGGATGCAGTTAGTCTTGTTCATGAAGTAGACCAGGACTTTAGGATATAGGCTGGGACCAGAACATCTTTTCAGTTTGGCCTGTTGGTAGGTATGTATGAGATCAGGTTGGGAAGCTTGTAGAGCTGCCAGTTGGAGAGGACTGTGTCAGTACAAGACTTTGGCTGGGCGTTGAGTGCTCTGGGTGAATGTCAAGTGCCGACTCTCCAGAGCAGTTCCATGTCCTGAAATGCCGCTGTGTCCTGCAGCAGGGCTGGTGGGTGCTGCTGGCTGGGCTTAGGGCTTCGGCTGTCCATAACAAGGTAACTGGGATCAGAGTCATAACTGTTTGAAAAATAATTTCTGAAGGCTCAAATACAAGTGATGGTGTGAAGGGAAAGGTAAAAATGCTTGGGAGCGTGTCAGGAGAAAGGAATCAGAGCATTTTCTGTCCTAGGAAGGCATCATACTTGGGTATTGTCCCTCCCTCGTTCCCAGCTAAGTTTTACATCTTGGGGAGGAAGATCATTTTGCTGCTTTACCTCTTTTGTTTGCACTTTGCTGCTTCTTTGCCTTTTGCTCAGCTGTTGTAGGTTGCAAGCCTTTCAGAGGGGCTGAATCTCTTGGTACCCAGCACAGTTGGGGCTTCCAGGTGTGCCCATAGCACTGATGACTGCGGCTGGTGGTGTTGAAGGAGGTCCTGAAACATTGAGTTCCCTTTTAGCCTGTGGGTTGAGTGGCAGAGGAGCTTCTTAAGGAGGTCTCAGAAGTGGTGGGTGTGTCAGGAAATGCTTCCAAAGGATTCTCCAGCGATTTGGGTCACATCCCTGGGTTGGAAGGAGAGGAAGAAGAGTTGCTGTTCTTAAAGTTTGAAAGTTGCTGTGTATGCACTGTGCCAGGAGTAGCAGATGTGCTCTTCTTGCAGGTTAGGGATCAGCCTGATAACTTCCCTGCTCTCTATCCCTAAAGAGACTTCTTTCCTCATCCTTGTTTGCCTTGGCCCAAAAATAAAGCTGCTACTGAATAATTCATCCTGCTAAACTTTGCTGAGTGTAAATGGAGCTGAGACCTCGCATGGTGAGGTGGTTATGAATATTTCAGCCAGGCCATGAAGTGGGGTTGCTGGCCAAATGGACAGCTGGCAAACTTGAGCAAGGTTCGTGCTTCCTTCAAGCACGAAGGGCAGAGTTGTGTGTGGGACCTGCTGCTGGACAGCCAGAGGGTTCTGGTCACGGTTGTGCTGTGCAGCTGGTGGCCCCATCCCATCACAGAATGATGAGGGGAGCAGAGGTAGGCAGTGGGTGGACAAGGGTGATGCTCTCCCACCCTCAAGGGCTGGTGACAGTGTACAGCCCCTCACACAGGGAGGGGATTGAGAAGAGC